TAGAAATGAAATTGTATCACAGATGTAAAGAAAAAAACATATATATATAGAATGAATTCGAGCTGAGGTAATGACGTTATGCAGTCGAAATATGTATTAGCGTCTCGTTCACCATTGATTCTTCATCTCCTTCATAACTTTTAATTGTCTATATCCTAGGAGAGAACAACGGATACAGTTACTTTTTTTTTTTTTTTTTTTTTTTCCATCAGCCTTTTAACGTACTCTAGTTACTATGTATTTTTCATTTTCCATTTTTTTTCTTGTTACGCTTCGAAGGTAAAAAAAAACAGAAAACATCTCATTAATCGAAGTATCACATAAGTTGGTTGTCAACTCGTCGACTTTAGGTATTTGTTCGAGCTTTATTCGTTATTCTTAGATAACTTGCTGATGTTGCTGCTTTTGATTGGCACATATGATAATAAATTCTATGTTTGTGTATGGGAACGGTAACATAAACGTCGTTATTAGCGATACTGTGAATGGCTCCTAGGGATACTTAGCGTTTTTAACTCTTCATTCTTCTCACGTAGCGTCTTACAGACACTGCATTCTCCATAACATTTTAATAAAATTTAGATAATAATTCGCTTGAACAAATTTAGAGTATTTAGTTTTAGAAAGGAAATTCTAATCTCCGCTGATAATGTAGTTAATATTTCTAATGTCAATATGAATGGTATTGTAGAATGTAGAAAATGAAGAGAGAAAAAATGAAAAATAAATAAAAGGATGCAAAGTTGATTCAGTGTCTGACAAGCGCATCATCGCAATTAGTTGTTAACAACAAACATGGAGACAGACGATATTATTATATTTCAGGGGCAATACTTCGTTCTAGCGACTAAGGTTGATTTTATTCGTTTATCTATTTACTTAATGCACACTTTTTCAAACTGATTATTATCGTCTTTATTCCATTTCATTTTACGACACTTTTTCTTTTTCATTTTTGTTTTTGTTTTTGTGTTTTCTTCTTATTGTTTTTAATTATGATTAAACATATGATGATTATTTGTACAACCTCCAGGTCGACATATTAATTGAACACTTGGATTGCCTTGCTTCGCAAATCCTCACCGTTGACTAGTTTCTCTCTACCTTAAGTTTATAATGTCAATTTCATTATTTTTATTTAATTATTTATTTAATTCTGTCATTTTGATTTCGCGCCGAGCGAACAATTATCAGTCACTGCATAGTTTTATTTTTTTTTTTTTTTTTTTTTTGTACTCCGCTTACACGCACAAATACAATTTAATTAACATTATGCACAAAATGCAGATAACTGTTACCGTTGGGTTCAACCTTTTTTTCATCTTTTTTTTTTTCTTGTTAACATCTCTATTTTCTACTTAGCAAGCAGTTTCATGATGACATTATTATACTTCTAGCAGGTAGCTCGTCTTTCTAGACTTTCGTTTCAATCACCTGACAGTGATGTTATTAATATTTGGGCTTGATCGAAATGGGGCTGGAGGCATTTTGAAGTTTTATATTGCAGACGCGCATTTCTGTAACAGATAAACATAAAACGATTAAGACTTTTCACAATTTTCTGCTATTCATTTAAATTAAGTCAATCATTTTTACAAATCATTTTTACAAAATTACACATCAAAGAACAAACATTATTTTTGTGAATTTTATCAGCATTATTCGCTTCAATCAATATTGAAACTGCCTACGATATTATTATAATACAAAGCGAAAACAAAGAAGAAAAAAAGAAGAATGAATTTGATTTAAAAGGTCAAAATTAACGTTTTCCATTCAATATATAAGATATAAGTTCTGATTCATAATTCAGAAAATTTCTTGAATCACGTTATTTAATTATTTATTTACATTATATTTTTAATTAAAATTTAAATAAATATCTTTTTAAATATTTATAGAATAGAGAATTTATAAATTATATAACATAATAATATTACTATAAAAAAAACAGGAGATATAATATTGGTAATCGTAACAAAAATAAATATATACAAACTGGCATATCATTAACTTAAGATTATGTTTTCATTGAGTAATAATAATAATAATAATAATCTATTATCATGCCATATACAAAGCTGTATTGATGCACATATATTGATGAGTTAATAGAAAATCTATATGAGTATAGTTATATATAAGTCTACCTGAATACTTGTTTTCTATGTATAAGGGTATTGGTTTCAAGATATTTATAGCAAGTTGACTCGTTAAAGTATTTTCTTGCTAAAATTTAATCTTATGAGATCGTGGCCAAACGTATAAAAAAAAAAACATGTAATCGGTCATTTTGAGAGAATTATTTTATTTAACTCATGAAATTCATTAACGTAATTAAATATTATATCGATTTATGTATGTTTAGATTCTAAAAATATAAAAAAATTCTGCTCATATTTAATCAATTTTTTAAATTCATCTAATGAAATATATAATATGCATTATCTATTTATACCAAATAAATTAACTAAGATTCGATGTTTATTTTAAATAGAAATATTAAGATTCGATGAAATTGGTTCCGGCAACAGAAATGGCTCTAGTGATTCCAAAAAATCGGTAATTCTTTTCTAATTTTTCAAGAGCTTAGAAATTCAGAAAAAATTAAAATAGTTGTGTGAAAGTTATATGAGAATTTTTGTAAATATTCAGTACCTTCGTATTTGATAAGACGTAATTTGAAAACTACTTTTTTTATATCTTTTCTCTTATTTATTTGAAAGTGTTAAAAAAAATTTTAAATTGAATTATTTTTAATTGGTCTAAGAAATTTAAGGAAATAGGTCATTTTTACATTTGTATAAGATTTGCAATTTTGCCCTAAAATCGATTGAATAAAAAAAAAAAAAAAAAAAAAAAAAAAAACTATCGATCAACCATTGATAATTTTATTATAAAATATAATTGTCCGGTTAAAACAAAATTCAAATTCAAATTAAAAATATATTTTTCACTGATAAAGTTTTATATTATATTTTAAACATTTTTTATTAAAATTGAAATTATTTATTATTCGATACTAAATTCCATCTTAAATAAAAAAATATTTAGTTTTGACAATATTCAATGCTCTTATTTTATTAAATTTGAATCTAAATTATTTCATTATTATATATTTATAATATTGTACCACGTATATTTTTTTACACTTTTGATGGTTATTTAGATGTTTGAAAGAATTAAAATTTTTTTCATAAATATTTGAACTGAATATTATTATATTATTGTATATTATCATATATTATAATATTATATTATATTGAAAGCATATTAAATACATGTTGTTATACTAAGACATAAGTACAAGACTAAGACATACAACATATGTTATATTTAAGAAAAAACAATAATCCTGAAATACAATAATAAACAGTTTATAAAAAAAATGGGCAAAACATTTGAAAAAATTTTAATAATTCTTATCCAAAAATTTGCACGTATGAATTATAATTGTTCGCATTAAAATTAAATGGAAACTAATTAATATAATAGATATATATATATTGCGGTAAAAATAAACTTACTTGAATGCAATTGACTGATGTATCCACTGATGTATTTGCATACGAAATGATTTCATCCATTCGTCAAATAAGTAAAAATTAAATCCAAAACTTATTTCCATCGAGCTACAATAAACAATTTCCCATTTTTTCATAAATTATTCCCTGTCAATAAAAAAAAAAAAAATAAAAACACATGCTTAGAAAAACTTTGAAGCACATAAATTTTGTTTAAAATATTTAGATTTTAAAAACTTTTTTTTATTTACACAATATAAATGAATATTGTAAAGTGTATAGAGTTATAAAAATGAAAAAGGAATGAAAACGTATTTTTTTTTTTTTATTTAAATCAAACGCGAACAAACAGGTATGAAAGATTATCAATTTATTCAGTTTGTTAAGTTCAAAACATTATTTAAATTCTCGAATCACAGTTGAATTAAAAGTAATTTACTAACCACAAACATTCTTTATCCATGTCTTATTTGACGTAAGGGCAGCACCTATAAACATTAAAAATTAAAATAATTAATACAATTACCCATAATTTAGAAGATATGGGAAAAATTCTTTCTATCATCTGCCATTATAAATTTGAGCAATTTTTCTTTCTAACCCCACTCGGAATATATTGAATTGAGTAACCAGTATTTTTCACGATTCCTATTAAAATTCAAATAGAGTTTATATTAACTTTTTTGGAAATATGAACAGCGCTTACTTACAATAAAATACTGCTATAAAAAAATTAATAAATAATTTTATTTTTATTATTGAAAGTTAATAAATATTATAAAATATTGACGTAATAATAAGTATATATATACATATATATATATATATATAAAAGAAGAAAAAAATATTAACGATTTTAGCAATTAGCTTGACCTTTGATGCCTAAATTAATGTAAATTGTGAGCATATGTTAAAAACATATTATTATAATCCTTATTTATCATTGCTGTTACTTTTTTGAAATGACGAAAGAAAAATTGCTCATTTTCCTCTCTTATAAATGTAATTCTATTAGAGACCATTCTCAAATTTTTATTGATCTCACCTCATTCTAAACGTGTTGTTACGTTCTCCGTAGGTACTCGAGTTTCGTGTGAATCATTTCATTAATACAGTTCGCACCAAATAAATATAAAATAGCATTTTCACTTAATTTGGACATATAATTTAAAATGCGAATAAAAAAGACAAGATAAAACAAATAGAAAAAAAACAATGAAAGGATTTTTAAAAGGAAAATTCATCTTCATCAGTCGTTCAGCTATATCACCTCGGTATAAACATCTTCACAGCTACGAACTTCTTGCCATTTTTTTTTTTTTTTTTTTTTTTTTTTTTTTTTTTTTTTTTTTTTTTTTTTTTTACTCTATATTTTACATATTTACAACAAAACAATAGCAATGATCTTCTATGATGCTATATATATATACATACATATACATATATATGTATATATATATACAGATATATTCTTGTTAAACACTGCACAACCCGCAAGAACTTAACTCATCTTTATCTTTGATCATCGATTGTTCCTCTTCCTCTTGCGCTTACCGGACGGATTCCATTCGGGATCAATCTCGGGATATACGTAATTTACCGTAGGAACAGTTCTCCTGGAACTTCTCGTCTGCTTAAGTCCACAACCGTTCGATTTTTTAGATTTCTTTGGGACACTAACACCGCTGTTTTCCACCTCTTCGTCCGTTGAGCCTAATCTCTTCTTACCATTGGCTTTCTTCGAAAAGCAATTTGGAACGTTCTGATTGTTTGTCTTGTTATTCATCGTTCTTTCTTTACAATTATTTTTATTTGGTTTAGCTGCTGCGGAAGTCATTTCAATGACGTTACCGTGGTCATGGTCGGGCGAATTATTTGGCACTTCCACATCAGCAATGGACATCATCAGCGTTCCTGGATAAGCTGCCGTTACATCTTCATTTTTATGTGGCGATGACGCGGACTGATTGGTGAAATTCATCGACATCATCCTCTGAGCCTTCAATCTTTTCTTTAGCGGTAGCTTGCTGTCAACGTGCTTGAACCTACGAACGATCTCTTTCTCCTCTTCCGCAACAATTTGTTCTTGCTGTGGCTTCTGATGCTTACCATCTATCAAGCCTTTCTCTAAGCTACACAGTAATTCATCATCGTAGAGCTTGGCCAACATGGCCGACGCCTCTATTTTTTTGCTAATCCTTTTCTCTTGGACGGCTGAATGCGTTTGTACTGATTGAATTGCGTGAGTCGCTGGAAGATAATATGGTAGCTGGCGGCAGTAAGCGCAACTGACGCATGCACAACCAGTTGACGGATGATGAATGTTTGGGTAGGTGCAGAAGCTGCCAGGAGGTGGAATGGCATATCCCGCATAATGCAATTCGTAACCTTGAGATTGATTCGGGTGCTTTGACTCCTCGTGAGCCAACGCATTGGACTTGACATCTATGTAATCCGGGTCTGGCTTGATAATTCGACCGCGCGAAACGACATCGTCGGGCTCGTGCTTCATTATCATCATCTGCTGGCAACATTTTGTGTCTTCGGTCTCGATCAACTTATTGCCATCTTCGTCGTCGCTATTGTAATTACCATTGCTCCCATTCATATTATCGACTGCTGCTTTGTTGATGATGTATAGATTACTGTTGGGCGATTTCTGTAAAAGCATAACCGTCTCACCGTTAAGTATGACGTTGGCGTTGTCGTTGCTTTCCAAATTATTCTGTATCGATTCATCGAGAATATAAGACAGTAAATCGGACGACGCGTCGTGACTTTGCTTTTGTTTATTTACAGTGCTGGTGACAAGTTCGGTGGAGGAAACTTCAACTTGAAGAGCAACCTTATCGAGAGCGTCCTCGGGATACATGCCAATTATTCGATTAATCATCATGTTATTGTCGTCGTCCTTTTGCTTTTGCTGTAAGCTCGAATAAGGTTTAACTTTCAGCTCCATTTTCTTATTCGTTGATAATTGTTGCTGGGCCGAAACACTAGCTAGCAATGTCAGGCCATCGATCTCGGAATCTTGGATGCTGTAGAATCCATTTGACGTGGCCGAGTGTACCGAATTCTCGGTTTGAATCCTCTTAATGTTGTTAAATACATCGCCATTCTCTTTCGTCTGAATGCTACTCGTTCGCGTATCCGTTGGATTAGATTTCGGCTTGGATGCATCGTTATTACCATTGTCATTCTCCTTTTCGTTCAATTTCTCTTCAATGCTGCTGTCACTTTCATTAATTTTCGGCAAACCAATTTTCTCTGTCGTTAATGGCTGTACTTTTTGTTCACTTGAATAATAATTTTTGTCTTTAATAATCTTTGCCGAGTCGACGGGCTTACTTTCTAATATCTTCTGTAACTTAATATTTTCAGCAACCGAAGTAGCAGCAGTGAAATTTACATCAGATTTTTTAGTCGCCGCACGGCTTTCTCTCGATAAATCCGTTATTTTTCCTTCGTCCGATGAATCGGCGACTTCTTTCAGAGCTTCGACATTCGATACCGTACTGTCTGCCGGCTGTTTTTTAATCGACGGTACATTAATATCGCGCAAGGCACTGACTTTACCTTTTTCCTCGTCGAATTTCACGACATTTGACGAAGAAACGACGAGAGAATTAGAACGTTCAATTACTGCCGTTGAATAATCGTAAAAATTCGATTGGTCATTATTGCTAGTTACTTGTGTGACGCTATCGCTATCGTTATCGTAGCGAAGGACTTCGGATGCCGAGGAATCTGGTGGACTAGAGCTGGAATTTGTTTTGTCGATCGATTTGTTGCGCGACTCGACCAACTTCACCATCTCTTTCCGAAGATTGTTCTCTTCGGTTTGTAAATCGTCTATTGGATTTTGCGGTGAGTGCGATAACTTTGATTCGAGCTCCGTTGTCATTACATTCGATGATTTATTATTATCCGGTGTTGGAAATATTTCTTTAAAATCCTCTTCATTTATCTTGAGAGA